TTTATTTCAAATTACATGGAAATCTGTGAACAATCTGCTTGGTGTTCCTGTGACACTTGTCCCATGATTTGCCAGGGCAGCCCCGTGAATACATGGACGAAAATGTTTCCACCACCACCCTACGAACTCAAGATTGCATACTCCAGCATCCATACTTTGAATAATTTGCACGCTGCACAGTGCAGTACTGGAAACAGCATTTATTAGACAGTTAGACAAAAAACAAAACAAAATGCCTGTCTCGATCAATCGCACATCCATAATGTTTGTATGTTGATACGCTTGTAAATAACATTAACGTAAAAGTCGAAACAACCTAGACTAGAAGTCAATTCACCTGTCCAGCCAACTATGGCTCCCTAAGTTGCTTATATTTAATCAGATACTATTTCGTCATCATGCTTTGTTAAATTGTTACCTTACCTGTTTATAACTCATGAGGGCGTTTTTTATGGCAAGATGGCACAAACGGAAGTCCTTCGCAGGTTCATGGTTTCTCATATTTAAATCATCATAACTCTGAAGATAATCATTTTTTAAAATTTTTTTTCTTCAAATTTATAATCAATATACATAACTTGATAAATACAAACACCAAAATAGGCTCTATTTAGTTCCCCTTTAAGATCTTCTATAATCCTCTATTTTGAAAACAAATAAATTGGTTTTAAAATGGCAGACTGATACATTGAGACTTTGGGACATTGAACACTACAGCCACCTGTCTATCTGTCATTGAACTGGCATAAAAATTTGATTTCACTGGCTAAATTTCTATAAAACTGTCAACTTTTGATTGAAAATTCCCAGTAGCTACAAATAACCAACGGACCAGCAACTATTATATTACATCTCAATATAGATTTTAGACAGGAACTTTTCATTTTCTGGTTATAACCCTGTAATACTGTGTGATGATGGTGTGAACTATTGAACTCATTGTTCTGTGTGTAAAATAAGCCTGCATTTCACGTTTTCACATTGTTGCCTATGGGAATTCAATTATAGCACAAGAACTGTACTGTGCTAATCAGGGATTGAAACTTACAATAATTCTACAGTATTCACAATGTAATTTTTGTTTTTTTGATAAGGTTCTGACATTACTGAGATTTATTTTAATGTATAAATATGTATAAAAACTTTTTGGAATGAATCTTTGCAGTATTTATTTTAATTAGGATGCTGTAAAGATCCCATTGCTAAGCATCAGTCAGTGGAAAAATTTCCTGTTTCACCCACCCTTTTCATCGAGCTTTCCTCAGCCTGTGAACAGGGTAGTTGAAAAGTATGATGTCTGTTCGGTGATCAAGAATACTATTTTTGTCATTTATCATTATTATTATTGATTTCTGTTCATTCTAAATCTCCCAGAACTGCTGAACATGCTACATTCCTAGAAACTTGCCAAAAATGCTTTTTAGTTTGTTGTTATTCATTGTGATAACAACCATATACAAGAGGCATAGGTACAATTGATGGCATGATTATACACGTTTACCACAGGACACTGTCGCAACGTTGATTTATACTGTACATGTATGTTATTACTTTTATTGCTTTTTTACAAGTTTCCAAAAGATCCTTCAATGATTTTGAGATAATGCTGCCCAAGTGCTGGTACGTTTAAAAGTGTCAAATTTCCTAATTTCCAAACTGCCTATGCAGATTCTTTCCGAAATACATTATCTCGAATTTATGATATATTGAAGATAATAATTGGTAATCGTAGTCCTAAATAACTATTAAAAATAGCTAGACGTTTCGAGCAATGGCTCTTTATCGATAGCATAGAAGCAAATGTGATAACGTACAGGTAGAACATAGGAACGTAAGAACGCGCATGAACTATAAGTTAGAATCACAAAAAATTCCACAATAGAACAAATAACGCGCCTTAGGTAGTGAGCTCAACAAATGAGTTGAACTGTTTGTTAATACCATGGGGTTCCTTAGTTCCAAGGCGGAATATAGTTTCCTCCTCGACACGCCTGAGCTGATTTTCGTTGCCATTGACAACACATACACCAGAAATAGACATATCTGTAATATTATGTCCACTAGAATTAAAATGAAGTGAAACCGGATAATAACGATTTTTCTGTCTAGTTTGCCCTAGATGCTCAGCAAACCGATCACCCAGTCGACGAACTGTAGAACCAATATAAAGTTTCCCGCATCTAATACATGAAATGCAATATACAACATTCATAGTGATACAACTGAACGGATATTTGACCTCAACATCTCCCTTGGGACCAAATATACGATTAGTGTCTGTAATAAAAGGACAAGTATTACACCTAGGACGATTACACGGGACAGAACCATATTTCTCAGGGTCTCCCCTTTCACCCGTATGCACCAATAACCTCCTTAAATTAGTGTCACGGCGCCAGGCAGTAGTAGTAGTAGTAATAGTTATTTAGGACTACGATTACCAAATATTATCTTCAATATATCATACTTATCAGTCCGAGC